TTTTTGACTGTTGCCAGCAAATTTCGATTTTGTTTGATTTTTGCTGACATCTACTCTTAATATTTTAAACCCAATGTCGTAAATGATATGTAAATATACTTACTTTGGATTCTTTCGAATTGGGGCTTGAACACACTGTCTTGCCATATCAACAGCTTGACCAACAAACACTTTTTCCAAGGACTTTGGAAAATTAGATTGCTTAGGTTCTATGCTGAAGAAAAGTAAAAGATTTTGTGAACCAGCAAACATTTTGACACAAGGAACAATGATGCATTCTGATTAAGTGCTTTTGGACGGCAATGGAAATAGTGCTATATAAAAACTTGTTATTATTTATTATCATCATCATCTTCGTTGTCGCCATCATCATCTACAAATCAATGTTTAGCTTTCACTACAATATACAATGGCATTAAAATCACTCAAATCATATAAAAATATTTTACTATAATTTAACTTTTAACTTCATGTAGAATCAATGCTGAAAACATTGAGTTAGGGGTCATAGGCACTTTAACTTGGGATCTCTGTATAGACTCAGGTATGCAGGCTGCCCGAATCAGAATTACTGCATGCACTGTAAAAATATATGAAAATGTATTTATTTAATGTAATGAATAAACTAGTAAATAACTTTGAATTCATACTACCTAACAGCTTCATCTGGATAATCATCTGGAATTGTCAATTTTAAGTTCATAAAATAACTGTAGATGAAAAAAAAAAATCTTAAAGTGAGGTGATATTCATTTGATTATTCTTGCTTATAGCCAAAGTCTTATATTCAACTAATTACCGATTCATAAAGGATTCAAAACACAAATTGTAGTTCCAGAAATATCCATAACCCTGACCACAAATGAAGGAAATTCTTAAAAGGACCCCCTCACCCCTTCACCCCCAAGAACTTCTAATAATTAGAAAATTATTTTCTTCCATACAAACTCTGTAATTTTGTCCTTTCTCTGGTCCCCCTCCCCTCCWGAATTTCCAATTTCTTCAATGGGTGGGGTATGAACTTTTGAACTTAATTTCTTAGGTTTGGGTTYGAACTTGCAGCATTTGTCAAAGTAAATGTTTTTCTAGAAAAAAAATGGGTTATTAAATTTCCTGATTTATTTATACAGGGGCCACTGAGGACTACAGCGCCCCCCTCCTTTTTTTCTTTTCCCATACTAWATAGATAATATAATATAATAATAATGGGATTAACAGTGGATTTCACAGAATGGCTCTCCTAACACTGGATTCCAATTGGAATTTAAAAGTTGATTTTTATGGAGGGAGGAAAACTGAAGAACCCRGAAAACCCTCAAAGCACAGGAGAACAAACAAATGACTCTACTCACACAGGATTACCAATCACTACGGGACATGAACCTGCTGGGTGACATTGAAGAGTGCTTCCCTATACTACAGTAGTCTATTACATTTTCCAATCTTAGCCCCCACTTTTTAAGTTTCACAGCCTAGACACTAGTGTGTTGCTATAGCAACCACAGTTTAGTGCATTTTTATGTTTCATATTTTGAATACAAGTTTACTGCAAAGTTTGGATGACACTCATCAAATACTCTCAGAGATATACTGAAATCTACAGYATGTCAAAGGAAACTGAGAGTTGAGAATATGATGTCATCAACCTCCTGATTAGCATAAACTTAAAACTTAAATATCTCTTAAACCAAAAATGCTAACAAGAAATGAAAAACGCCAGTTTTCTTCTTTTGCAAAGTACTTAAATCAAAGTACTAAATAGTAAAGATTGGAGACATTAAAATTTCATCGTAGTGGCAGTACTTTAACCTTAATGTAACAAGATGTGCAAAACAATTAACCAAGAGTACCCTGCTATGGTTGTGAAATGGTTTTGTGTTATGGTTTTGAAACAGTAAAACCAAAAATATTTTTGGATCTGGCAAATGCATCTTCTGTAACATAGGAATGCAAGATCACATTGTTTCCACAACAATMATTTCTTTGTTTAATGGTAATATGCTTCAGAAGAGACAATTATCATGCATATGTAATATAAACAGAGAATTTTWTTAAATCAGTAGAGACATATGCTTTGCAAGGGAAAAAATGATGCACCTTAGGTAGACCTATTCATGATTAGATGTGCCTGCAGTATTGATAACGCAGCATACGATTTTTATATATTATATACCTGTTTTGGTTGATACAAATACTGATTACTCCTGTCTTTTGTTTGACCTTAAACTGGTCTTTGTGTGTAATCAGTTTATCTTTCACATAGGCAAGTTCTTCACTGCACACAATTAATGGGTTTTCATCAAGGAATTTTCGTAAGAATAAGACTAAAAGAAAAACCTGTAAAAGGGTAAATAAAAGTTTAAGATAAAAATAGCAGATAATTAAATTTGGAAAATTTTCCTGGGCTTTGAAAGATTCGTTACTTAGAAATTAGCTGTTCCTAGGTCAAGGAAAAAACCGGGTTGAATTTGCATTACAGCTAGTGCTTTGTGGTTATGCATTCGGGGACGAAATCATAAATGCCATCTTGGAAATATGTCCCCTAAAAAGCCCCACGATGCACCACAATGCCAACTTGGCCCAGTGCTTTCCTCATCAACAGAACAGCTAATAGAGGAGYTCCATTTCTTGAGCTTTAAGTTGAATTTGATTAATTTATCAATGCTTAATAACTAACTTTGGTAGAGTACAACTGGAACCTCTTCTCAAATGGATTCTAAGTAACAAATCGTTTGACAACAGAAGCTAAATAAAAGGTCAAAAAGACTTATTACTCAAATTCACACAACAGCCTTCAAATATTTCACACAACAGCCTTGCCTTAGAGCCCTTGTAATAACAAGGAATTTGAAAAAGAATGCGACATTAACATATAGTTATAGAACGAAAAAGGAAAACTGAAGAAGGATCATAGGAATGCTATGATCTGTATGCCATATCTTAATGATCTTAATGCTATGAWCTGTATGCAATATCATTTAGCTACYGGTAAAAGAATGTGTTGCAAATCATTAATCAASTCAAAAAACAAAGGGTGCAAGGGATTCTGATAGTGGTAGTACCCATGATATTGATGCTGCATATAAAAATATTTAAATCTAAATGGCCTGTTTGACTTATCAGTTATCACATCATCATACCTGCTGCTTTCCAACATGTTTTTTCATTTCTTGATCACATAATTCCATCATTCTATTCAATAATTTAGGTGGCAAAACACTACTCTTGAGCTCAGTTAAAATTGATTCTTTGGGATAGTTTCTTGGAAACTGCATTTTTACAGTAACTTGTTTGTGCTTGGTTCTTCTATGAATAATTAATAATTGAATCAATCATGTATAGTTTTATTGCAAAACACAAAGCTACTGTTAACCCTTTCACTACTAGAGGCTAAGAGGGTCCAACAAAGGCTATTCCTGGAACATAATTAGGGTGTTTTTTATTTCTCAATATCAAAATGAAAAAACATATGCTCACTAGATATTGAGATCTTATAATGTATGAGTCAATTCCAAAGGTTCCCATSCCCCCCGGGAATATATGTCTGAATGGGYGGGCATTTGACTTTTGAYTAAATATAGCGGCCCTTATCTAATTTGCATAAATTAGCGTATTGCAAAATTTTAGGCTTGTGGATCRTGCTTAGAGGACTCTGGTTCGCCTGTGAATTTTAAAAAATCCCAAATACCTTTGTTTAAAATCTGGGATAGCACAAGGGAAGTTAGAAAAGCTTTCTTGGTGGATCTCTTTGTGCACTCTCTCCAAAAGAAAGGCAAAAGAAAGGTTGAAYTTCAAATTGATTACGACCTCATTGAAATCGAATGGCCACGGTWCAAAAATTTGGTTTCAAAATACAATCTCATACTTGTTGCTTCTTTGAGAAACAGGGAAAGAAAAGCTTGGAATTAAAAAGAAAAAGAAGCAAAACTTTTCAATGTGGATGACAGTACAGAACGAGTAGATGAAGATAAGTTTTTGGAGTCTAAAACAATAAATATGTTTATGCTAATTTCCAAAGTTGGCRAAGATTTCAAGTCTCGATTCTTATAAAATTAAAGCTATAAATGATAAAATGATCTCAAAAGGTACTTAGCATGAAACTTGTTGGATGTATACAGGCTCAGTTTTGTACTTTTTAGGTAAAATAAGAGATTCATCAGACTGGAGGGGCGGGCATTTGACCACTTAGTGGAGNGACAAGGCTGGTGTACAGCGGCTACTGGGCCTGGCGCAGTATCTTGCAAAGTTTCTGCCAAATCTTTCTGACATCACCAAGCCGCTAAGGGACTTAATGCAGGACGATGTAGAATGGACCTGGGGAGAGGCCCAGAAAAAGGCTTTGGATAAGCTCAAAGACGCAGTCACGAACACGCCAGTACTGCGTTACTATAATCTAAATGAGGAGGTGACTCTACAGTGTGATGCTTCACAATCAGGACTGGGAGCAGTATTGATGCAGAATGGTCAGCCAGTGGCCTATGCTTCAAGAGCCCTGACACCCGCTGAGACACGTTACGCACAAATAGAAAAGGAGCTACTGGCTATCGTGTTTGCGTGCAAGCGTTTTGACGCATACGTGTACGGTCGTCAACAAGTGAACATTCAAACAGACCACAAACCGCTGGAGCCTATCTTCACCAAGTCACTGGATAGTGCCCCCAAGCGTTTACAAAGGATGCTCCTGCAGCTCCAGAAGTACCAACTCGCAGTAAAATACAAGAAGGGCAAGGAGCTGGTACTTGCCGACACGCTCAGCCGAGCATACCTGCCGGAAGTTAATGCATGTGACTTCACAAGGGAACTAGAATCAATAGACCATCGCGCCTACCTTCCCGTGACAGAGGAACGCTGGCATCAACTAAAAAACGCAGCGGCTGACGATGTGGTGCAGCAGAAACTTCGTGAGACCATAGTCCGTGGTTGGCCAGAAACCAAAGCCGAAGTCCCAGAATGTATACGGCCCTACTTTGATGTACGTGGGGAACTAACGGTACAAGACGAATTGATCTTTAAAGGCCCCTTACTGGTTGTCCCCACAGTGCTGAGGAAGGAACTGATGGACAAGACCCATGCAACCCACATTGGCCTAGAAGCTTGTATACGCAGAGCAAGAGACACGCTATACTGGCCACGGATGACAACARATCTAAARGAATACATCTCCAAGTGTGATGTATGCCTAGCTCATCGCAACAACCAAGCGAGGGAACCACTCCTTCAACATGAATTCATAGCTCGGCCCTGGGCAAAGGTCGCAGCAGATCTCTGTGAGTTTGATAGCAGAACCTTTCTGGTAGTGAGTGACTACTACAGCAACTACATGGAAGTATCCCGTGTTACATCCACCACCTCTCGTACAGTCATCAAAGAGCTGAAGGCCATCTTTGCGCGATTCGGGATACCAGACACGCTGGTGACGGATAATGGTCCACAGTTCTCCTCGGCAGAGTTCGCAGTATTTGCCAAAACATGGATGTTTGACCACAAGACGTCTTCACCTGGGTATCCCCAATCGAATGGCAAGGCTGAGAACGCGGTACAGACAGTGAAGAGACTCTTCCAAAAGTGCAAAGAGTCWGGCATCTCTGAGTTCCAAGCCCTGCTGGACTGGCGCAATACACCTACAGCTGGCATTGGTACTAGTCCAGCCCAGCGCCTCATGGGTCGGAGATGTAAGACACTGCTCCCAATGGCGGGCACACTCTTGCAGCCAAGGTACGCTACAGAGGAGGAAACCCGGAAACTCGTGGGTAACAGGCAGCGTCAAGAGTACTACTACAACAGGCGCTCTAAGCCCCTAGAGCCGATCGAAATTGGAGACACAATCAGAATGCAGCT